TCCCTCACTAACCAGATGGTTACTCTCGATAATGTCAGTATAATACCCAGTAACACTGTGAGGAATCTTGGAGTCATTTTTGACCAAGAACTCTCCTTCAAGGCTTATATAAGCCAAGCAACTAAAACGGCGTACTTCCACTTACGGAACATCGCTAAAATTAGGAATTTCCTTCCTAAAAGTGACGCGGAAAAACTCATTCACGCGTTTGTCACCTCAAGGCTCGACTACTGTAACGCTTTACTGGCAGCGTGCCCTAAAGCCTCTTTGAAGAGCTTCCAGCTCGTTCAGAATACAGCAGCTAGGATCTTAACAGGTACCAAAAGGAGGGAGCACATAACTCCGGTGTTAAAATCACTCCACTGGCTCCCTGTGGAGTACAGAATAAAGTTTAAAATCCTACTCTTAACATATAAAGCCATAAATGGCTTGGCTCCTTCTTATCTCCAAGACACGTTAGTGTCGTATCAACCAAGTCGAGCGTTGCGCTCACAAAACGCCAGACGTCTGGTGGTCCCTAAGGTCTCAAAGGTCACTGTTGGTGGCAGAGCATTTAGCTACCAAGCTCCTTTACTGTGGAATCAGCTTCCCATTTATGTTAAGGAAGCAGATACGGTCTCCACATTCAAGGCCAGGCTTAAAGCACTTTACTTTAATTTAGCATATAATTAGGTAATATATAATATGTAGTGTATATATTATATATATATGCTGTATTATGTTATATATTATGTTATATATTATTCAATAATGTATTGTGTTATGTTGTATATTATGTTATATATTATGCTGTATGTTATTCTTTATTCAAGGCTAGGTTTAAAACAGTCCTCTTTAGTTTAGCATATGGCTAGGAAGGTAAGACTCGGAGAAGGTTAAACTCCTCAGAGTGTTAGTCAAGCTGCATAGGGAGTCAGTTTGCTGGGAGAAGTATGGTAACTTGAGCACTATCCTCTCCTCCTTCCTACTTTATCTGTTTAGCATTTTTAGGATTCTGACTGTAGTTTGTTCATTGCTATTCACCCGTTGTCCCATTGTCTGTTTCATGGTACGATGACGGGATCTCTGAGCCTGGCCTCTTCCATCTACACCTGCGGACTGCCCCGCCCGACCCGCCTGGGAGTGCTTCGGTCCTGCACCGGACCTGTCCACGTTCAGCGTCCACTGGTCCACGTTCTGTAGCTAGCTTAGGTCCTAGATCATTAGTCTGTCCGTCCGGAGGAGCGGATCCCTTTCTCAATGGGTCTCCCTCCCTGTGGGTTTCCCTAGTTCTCCTCCAAGGTTTCTCACTTTTTCCCACTGGGTTTTTTAAGAGTTTTTCCTTGTCGATGCAGGAGGGTCTTGTTGGACAGTTAGTGTCCAACAGAAAGGATTGGTGATGATCAGGACACTTTAGCATTCTACAACATGTATGGACATTTTCTTCTGTGTGTGCTTTATACTGTATTCTTCATGTGTTTTAACTGTTGATTCTCTGACCTGTGTTGGTGATTTCAATGGTTTTGTTAAGTCCTCTGAGATGACTTCTGTTGTGACCTAGGGCTATACAAGAATAAATTGTATTGTATTGTATTGTATTGATGTTTATATTTTTGAAATCATACATTGATGAGTGCTAAATGAGAGAGATACTCATGATTCTTCTTTTGTTTTTGTTTGTCCCTAGCTTCTGGACATCTGATGATCTATTGGACACAGACATTTGCAGAACAAGAACCAGCCAATGAAAAATCGTCTATTGCCGATGCTATTGCTACAACCAGAACCACAACTGTGACCAAATGCAATACATGTTAAGTATTCAGACATCTGACAGACACAAACTTTGACTTTTTAGTCTGGGAGACTGAGCAACTGTCTGTTTATAAACACATTTCCACGTAAGAGTTAAAATCATAACTATACAATGTTATCATTCTGATAGAGAAGCTAAAATATTAGAATCAGAGTTATTTTACACCCATTGAAAGTGACAGAAGTCACAAACTAGAAATATGCCTTGGCTCAAGCTGCAACCGAGCTTTAGAGTCACAATAGTGTAAAAATAGGAATAGATAAATGCATCAACCATAGATGCTTTCAAAAATAGAGAATATTTTTAGCCAGTGCTAATATCAAATGGTAAAGGGACCATTTCACAAACTTTACTTCAGAAGTAAATAAAGTTCATTACAGTTTATGTACAGTTTTATTAGATACTTGTCAAATTCACTTGTGTTCAAACACCTGTGAATGTTGACAATACAAAAAGTTTGAGTAAAGCTTAGATTAATGAGATAGATTAGAACCAACAGAGATTCAAAAGCATTTAAAAGCATTTTGATGCATTTGGGTATAGCCCAAAACACAATAGTAGATATTTAGATATTGAGAAGTTTAAAAAGCTGATTTGCCAGAACAGATTAGAGAATCAAACACCATTGTAGACCCCAACCCCAAACCTGCTAAAATAGATTAGCTCTTGTAAGAATAATAATAATTTGATTATTGATGTACATTCATCCCAAACTGCCTGAGAGGAGGAAGTGACAGCACTTCCTGGTTCAACAAATGTATTTGGAAAACTGACCGCCATAATAATGTTCATATTAACCATTTGTCTTTCTGTGTTCACAGTTTTATTCCTGAGAATGTAGAATAGACATGGAGCAAAATCCCACTAACAATAAGCCACTGATAATGAAAGTAAACCACAGAATAGAGAGATTTATTAGATTAAAATGTATGTTTAAGAATATGGCTCAATATAAGCAAATATGCAAACATATTTGTAAATAGATTAGAATAGTTGTAAACTATAGTGAATCATGAAAGTAAAGTACACAGTCTAAGATTAAAAATTGAAAATAATAAAGTGAAATAAGTGAAGTGTAGTGTAAACAATCAGCATTAGAATAAAAGTATAAAGTAAGAAAAGTGAAATTAGCTTCTAAATTGAGACTCAGCTCGTTTTTATTTGTGTTTTGACTGAATCTGCTGAGTTCTTGTGTGTCCAATAGTGTTTTTGTTTGTTTTTATTTTTGATTTGTTTTTGTTTATTTACTTTATTTTTGTTTTGTTTTTTTTCCCAGGATAGAGGATTAAATCCACTGATATTGATTTAGATGATTATGAGTTCAATGCATACATTTTCTTTGTTTTTAATAATTTTGTAAAGTTTTTTTTTTTAGATTTTGTTTTTTTTTTTACTTTATTGATTGATTAAATTGAGTGATCACATGTGATTATGTGATCAAAGGGGTGAGTGTTAGTATTAGATAGCAACATGGCCTACGTGCAGGACTGTACAAGGACTCTGATTATTTTGACTATGATGTGACTGTCTCTGTGTGACACGTATGTCTTTCCATGTGTGACGTGACAATGACTATATAAACTGTGTACTGACTCCATTCTGTCTGAGATGAAGAAACAATTGAAACCACTGGAACTTGAGAGAAACTTAACACTAGGACCGCCGTGCTCTAAACATACCTTGCACCGCCCCCTGCGGTCAGTTGACCGCTATGTATTTTGCGCTGATACAGCCTTTTGCCAAATTGATTGTTCACTAAACCAGAATTTGTTGTTGCAAGGAAATCGTGATCATAATGAAACTGTGTAAATTATTTGTCTAAATATGCTAAGTAATTGTAATTCCAGCCGAAATAAAAAAAAATTACGAAGACTTTTCTGGTTAGATTTATTTTGTAACTTTGCAAACACGTAAAAGGTCGGTCACTATATGTTAAATTTGACTCAGTAACAATATGTCAATTCAAACAATATAAATGATAGTTTAGAAAAGCACGGGACCATAACGTCTTCGCGCTGCTGTATGCGTCTGCTTCTTACGTCATCTCCAGACTGTTTTCTCTTTCCAGCCGAAATCACTGTGGGAAATATTATCTCGATAATAATAATAGTATTCGTATTGACACAAGATCATCAGCTAGGCTACCATCGTCAATGTACAATCTTCATTTTTACACGGGACACGTTATATATATATATTTGTATTTATTTGAGACAAGCAGTGCTCTTTATGATCAGAAGAAAATTATAATCATTGCCTTGCAGTGCGCGCTGTGCAGAATAACACACAGTGTTATCTGAATGAAATAAGAAAGATATCCTTATTGATATATGAGGGCCGCTTCTGCCCCACAGTCGCTCTCCTCCTGCAGTGTCCGCGGGTGACGAGAGGCCTCACAGCGCTCTATCTGCACTCTGCCTTGATAGTTCATCTAATTGTTCTATTTTATTGCGATATTGTATTCTGCTTTATTGCCTTCTTGTATGTATAAATATAATAATGTAATTGATGATGAATGAAAAGGCAGAATGGAGCGACAGCGCGCACACAGACACCTGCGTATGGCTGGCATTACGCGGGTCATGTGCGTTATTGCTTCTGGACTTGTTCCAACACTGCTGTCCGTGCCGTGAATGCACTACGGGTTTACGTTCAGATTTAGAATATTATAAGTGTTCTCCCCGCTGTGACATCTCACCTCCGTCAGACTGTTCTCATTCAATGTCTTGAAGCACTGTCAGGGCTTCATACCGTGTACTTGCAGCTCTATTCATGTTGTACTCCTCTCAATTCAAAACTCTTTCTCTCTCCCAAATAAAAACCTCAAGTCCCTTTAGAGTCTAATGACAACATATTGATACATTTGTATAAGGCGCGAAAAACCCCCGGGAAAGGTTACTATGACAACAGTCGCCCCTGCGCCATGTATCCCTATGGGGCAGCAGAAAGGGCTGTGGTTTAGAAAAGTTAAAATGCGTGTAAATCTTGTTTTCTTTACTTTTTCCAAAAACAAAACACACCAAAATATAAACAACAAGTACCCAGTAAAAGTCATAAAATTTCAACTTCTGGCGTTTTGTTTTGAATACACTAATTAGCATATTAAAGTGAGTGACGGTCAGTTGACCGCTAGGGGCGCTCCTAGTGTTAAATAAACTGAGCAGTTGAGCCCGTCGATGACTCAACTGCTCCAGGGGTGAAACCTATGGTGTTCCTAAAGACTGTCTCGGTCCAGATGATCTTGGGAGGTTATGTGGATTTGGGTGCTGGCCAGCTGTCGACCGGGCGGATCTACGTAACTGTGGCTCGTCTGGACCGAAAACTGTACTGGACACAATTGATGGCAAATGCGCAGAACTGGGAGGAACTACTGATGGGGGCTCGCATGGTCCCAGCACAGGGCGAGAAGGTCTTAGAGAGGAGGGCTGGGGAACCCGATGGGGAGGCAGTGGCTGGTGAATAGGGCTGTCTCAGAAATAAATCCCCCTCCATCAGAGGTTCCTCCTCACGGGGTGGCATGGTTGGTGCTGTTGGAGGGCTCGAGACAGGAACTGACTCAGTTGATTCGGTACTGATCAGGGCCTTCAGCAAAGACCTATGCACCCTCTTGACCTTTGCCTGTTGGTCCACTGGGGCCACGGTGTACACTGCGCCATCATCCGGTGGAGCTTCAACGATCACATAAGTCACCGGACACCGCAGGTCGGTTATCTTATGGCGGCCCTTTTCCCCAAGATTCCGCAGTAGCACAAGCTGACCCTTCCTAAGAGGTGCCTCTCGCACACGCTGGTCGTAGTTAGCTTTTCTACGCGCTGCAGCCACCCGCAATCTTTCCTGTGCCCCATCAAAGGCTACCTGTAGCCGAGCCTGATGCTCTCGCACCCACTCATGGACACTTCCCGCCACTGGGTCTGGTACTTGTCCCAGCAAAAAGTCAATTGGCAATCGAGGCTCTTGTCCAAACATCAAATAAAAGGGCGACTCACCAGTCGACTGATGAGGCGTGGTGTTATACGCATAGAGCACCTGCGGCAAGCAGGAACCCCAGTCCCTCTTTCGGGATGGGGGCAAAGCACAAAGCAAATTGTGAAGCGTTCTGTTGAACCGCTCACACTGACCATTACCGGCAGGGTGATAGGGAGTTGTGCGTGACTTCACGATTCCATATAAGCTACAGAGCTGCTGAATCAGCGCACTCTCGAAGTTACGTCCCTGGTCGGAATGGATGCGCGCAGGGACGCCAAACTTCGCAAACCATTCCGAAACTAGAACCTGAGCCACTGTGGAGGCCAGCTGATTGCGGGTTGGAATAGCCAGAGTGTATTTGCTGAAAACGTCAGTCATCACCAGGACGTTCTCTTGACCGGAGGGAGTAGGCTCAAGCAAGGAGAAGTCAACCGCGAGAATTTCATTAGGCTTTGATGCCAGCAAGTGGCCTAGGAATGCAGGTGCAGTTGGGTTGTTTTGCTTACTAAACCGACACCGCTCGCAGGTCTGACACCACCGCATAACCTCGCGGGACATACTCGGCCAATAGCAACGAGTGCGTAGCAAGGACAAAGTCCTTTTAACTCCTTGGTGCCCATGTTCCTGGTGAACCTGGGTAAGGACATCCTTAACCAGAGCCCTGGGCAGTAGGACTTGATGCATAACCCCTCCACCATCTGATCGAAACACCTGCCGATACAGCAATTTGCCCAGCTCGACCAGGCGATCCCACTGGCCTAGCAGGACAAGCGCTGGTGGAGATAGCGCTTGATGCTCCTCCCGGGAGGAGCGTCAAACTTCCGACAAGGCTTCCGACCTTGTTGCCAAAACGTTCAGATTTCCTGTATGACAGGGTCAGTCCGCTGCAACGTTTGGAGGTCAGCAGGAGCCAGGTCAGGGAAGACAGTCATCACTGACTGCGTTGCCTCAACCGTAGTTTCTTGAGCAGCTTCCTGCAGGACTAAGGATAGTGGGGTGCCTGGAGCTGCAAAGGCCCCTTCCTGGGAAATTGGCCATGGTTGACGGGACAACGCGTCAGCATTCCTATTAGCCTTCCCTGACCGGTATTTTAGTTCAAAATCAAAACAGGCCAACTGGGATACCCAGCGCTGCTCAACTGCCCCGAGTTTGGCAGTCACCAAATAACTCAAGGGATTGTTGTCAGTGAAGACAACGCACTTCTGACCCAACAGGTACTCCCTAAACTTGTCAGTCATGGCCCACTGGAGCGCCAATAGTTCAAGTTTCATTGAACTGTAATTGGACATATTGCACTCGGGGGTCTTAGTCCACGACTGGCATAGGCAACAGGTCTCAACTTGCCACCCTGCTCTTGTGAGAGTACCGCGCCCAGACCCACATGACTGGCGTCTACCTCCAATACAAAGGGCAGTGAGAAGTCTGCATATGCGAGCACAGGGGCACTGGTAAGCCTGGCCTTCAATGCATCAAAACTTATTTGGCACTCATCATCCCAGAACTCTGCACATACCTGAGGTTTCTTTTTGTGCTTCCCAGAATGCTCAGCTACTCAACGGTGCAACGGGGCAGCCATTTTGGCGAACCCATCCACGAACCGTCGATAATAACTAGCAAACCCCAAAAATGAGCGAAGATCAGAGACATTGGTGGCGGTTGGCCAACTGACAACAGCGTCAATTTTCCCAGGGTCTGGGGACACGCCCTCAGCGGAGATTATGTGCCCCAAGTAACTGACCTGGCGCTGGAAAAAACTGTACTTAGCCAGTTTGACTTTAAGCCCGTCATTGTGCAGCCGACCCAACACCTTGTCCAGCCGCCCCAAATGCTGCTCCACACTAGACGAAAACACAACAATGTCATCTAGGTAGAGGAGCAATGACTGCCCCTGTTAGTCACCAAATATTCTCTGCATTAATCTTTGGAAGGTGCTGGGTGCATTGCACAGCCCAAACGGCATGCGATTCCACTCAAAGAGCCCGAATGGCTTGCAAAACGCGGTTTTGGGCCGGTTTGCCTCTGTCACAGGTACCTGATTATAACCACTGGCCAGGTCCATGGTTGAAAACCAGCGAGCCCCACTCAAAGAGTCGAGGGACTCCTCAATCCGCGGGAGGGGAAACGCATCCTTACGGGTTTTAGCATTGAGCTGACGATAATCAACGCAGAGACGCAACTTGCCATCTTTCTTGCGGACTAATACAATTGGGGAGGCATAAGGGCTTGTGCTCTCCCGGATGATCTGTGCCTCCAGGAGCTGGTTAATGTGCTCCTTTACCAATTCATATTCGGATGGGGGGATACGACGGTATCGTTGCCGAACCGGAACGTCATTGAGCAGAGGGATGTCGTGCGCGATCAGGTTGGTACAACCCAAATCCTGATCGTGGGCAGCGAAAACGGACCGATGCTCCCTCAACAAGAACTGCACCTGTTCCTGCTCCACAGAGGACAGGGCAGACAAGTCTATGGCTGCAATTGGATCTAGGTTGGCGGGTACAGCGGCCTGTGACGAAACCGTAGCAGAGACAGAGGTCACTTCAGTCACACCTGCTGGGAGACTAACCACATTCCCATCATCCAAGGTGCCCACCAACGTACGGGGATAAAGAAGCACATCATTATCCCCAACATGGACAATAGGAACATATGCAGTTCCTCGGACCACCTGAACCATTGCAGGTGAGGCCATCAATCCTGCTGGCAGGCCTTGCTCTATGGGTTCAAAAAGAACGGTGGTACCGGAATACTGCTCTGAATAAGTTGCTGGGACGACCCTAATCGCTCCTGCGGGAATACGGACTGCCCATTTGCCCCGGACCCTGACCTTGCCTGGTTCCGCTCTCAGGGGTTTTGCCTCGGCGGCATGGCACTGCTGAAGGGCGTCCACCAATGGAGCCGGAGAGGCTGTTACAGGAGGTGTATTAAACATAGCAACCCCATATTGCCCAAACAATTCTTGATAGCATCTATGGAGGACATTCATCCCCAGGACACCGGGGACCTGAGACGAAACACTGCGGGAAGGGTCTTTAACGACCAGAACGCCACACTGGGGAAGTACTTTCCCACAGAGCTCAATAGTCAGCACCAGATAACCAATGTATGAGATAGTTAACCTTTCTCTCACGCCAAGACCTCGAGAAGGCAACGCACGCATTTATCAGTTCTCGGTTGGACTATTGCAACGCTCTCTACTCTGGCCTCCCACAGTCGTCACTCAACCGGTTACAGTTGGTGCAGAATGCAGCAGCCCGTCTTCTCACCGGTTCATCTAGATACAGCCACATCACTCCTGTCCTCTCCTCCCTGCACTGGCTCCCGGTCCGTTTTCGGATTGATTTTAAAATGTTAATGCTTGTTTTTAAAGCTCTTCATGGTCTCGCTCCGTTATATTTAACTGAGTTGTTGACCGTACATCGCCCCAGCAGAGCTCTCCGGTCTGCCAATCAAATGGTTCTGGATGTGCCCAGGTCCCACTAGAAACAGTGGGGCGAACGTTCCTTCAGGGTTGCAGCGCCTAAACTGTGGAACAGCTTGCCACTCAGTCTGCGTGTTCTCACGGACCTGTCCCTTTTTAAGTCCAGATTAAAGACTCATCTTTTTAAACTTACTTTTAATACTTAGGGCACACTGAATTGTGTCTTGGTTGTTTTCATTTTGTGTTTTAAATTGTTTTAATCTCTCTGTGAAGCACTTTGGTCCTCCTGGTGTTGTTGTAAAGTGCTATACAAATAAACTTTGATTGATTGATTGATTAACCCGTTGGCAGCTCTCAGCTGCAGCCAATGACAGGCCTTCAGCTGTTCTTCGCCCCACGGTTCACAGTGTTGGTGGAAAAAGCTCTCTGAGATCATGGAAACCATCGACCCTGTATCCACTAAGCATTTTACCGTAACACCCGCCATGTGCGCATCAACGTGGGGGCAAGACGCAATCAAGTTAGGGACATTTGATAGTCCCTTGAAGGCATTGGTGGAGCAAAAAGGTAGCCCCCCCGTGCTGTGGCTCTGGAGCGCGGTGGGCATTAGTTTCCCGACATCTGACTAGGGCGTGTTGACACAGATGCAGGTGGATGGCAGGAAACGCGAGGGCCATCACAGTCTCTAGCGTAGTGACCAGGCTGCTGGCACCGTTGACAAATGATGGGACCTCGTCGGGGTGAACGGCTGCGCTGCGGCACTGATGTTTGCAAGAGAGTAATACTTTGGGTGAGAAGGGTTAGTTGTTCCTGCTGCTTTTTCAGCAGCTCCTTCATCTCGCCTAATTCTGCCCGTGGGTCACTACGCATTGAGTATTGGATCCCAAGGGCAGAAGGCACAGAGTTACTCCGACCCCGCACACTAGCCGGCAACCCTTCCAGTTCCCACCTCATTGCCTCCCCCCTGACCTCCACTATAGTGGCCCACGGATGCTGACGCGCAAACCGTTTTAAATCTCGACGCAAAGAGCCATTCAGTACGTTCTATGTATGTTCTATGAATTGGTCGCGCAAAA